CCCAGAATTCTTTTGTTAGTCCATCAATGCCTGGAATTTTGTTGTTGTTCATACTTTGGACTGCCACTTGTAGTTCCTCTAACGTGATTGGCTTGTCTAGAGCGTCTGCCTGTTCTTGTGAGATAGTTTTATCTAGGTATTGGAGCATTCTGGCCCGTGCTTCTCTAGTACTGGGGGGATTGGGGGCAGGTGTCTTTGTTTGGTAGAGGTCTTCATAGAACTCCTTGGCTATGTTTAGCATTCCTTTGTTGTCTTTCAGTGTCTCCGCTGTTTCCGAGAGGGTTTTGAGGCCCTCTATTGAGCTAGATCTTGTGTTTGCTTTAATCCTCGCAAAGAAGTGCTTTGACATTGACTCGCTGAGCTCATACTCATTCATTCTCGATCTTATTTGTAGACCCTTTAATTCCCACCATCTCCATACAGCCAGCTCCTCTCTTGCTCTGTGGAAAATGTCTGTATAGAAAGGCGAAGATGGATTGTCAACTAAAGTTGGACTCTGCGACCCTTAGAGCGGCTTATAGAGCGATTTTTCGTTGTTTCCTATCGTTTGACATTTTCCTTGATATGTTGGTTGCTGTCTGGGCCAGTACGAAGTAGCTATCTTGGAACCAATCCCATCTGTCATGAATGGGGAGGTAGCTGGCTCTGCTATTCTGCCAGCTGTCCAGGATACCTTTTTCGAAAGATTAGCCAAATAGAAGCGAGTTGTTCAGTTTGTGAAAGCAGGAACCTTTCTTCACAAATTGTTCGAAACTGATGATTAGTTCAATTGGTTTGTGATCCAGCCCTATGTAAGGCTGTAGGGGGAGGATGTCTGCCAGCTTGGTTGTCCCCGTTAATGTTTCTGAAATAAAAAAATAGTCTATAAAGGAGAAGGCAGTGTGTTGGGCGTGGTTCTTCTTTACTAGGGTGAAGGCTCTTACTCCCGGGTGCAAGGTGCGGTATGGCTCAACCAGGTTGCAATCGAGCATCAAACGTTGGATAGGGACTGCCTCTTGCGTGGATTGGCTGGCCGTCGACCTCGATTTACGATCTATTGTCAAGTCTAGGGTGGCGTTCCAATCACCTGCGAAGATGCAGGGCGTTAGAGGAGGGGCTAGATTTCCTATACTTGCTACAAAAGCTGCTCTCTCCTATGAATTGTTCGATGCATAGATGTTTATTATCCTCACTTCTTCTTCTTTCCACCGTAGGTCCATCAGACACCATCTCCCTTCTGTTGTGTCTGCTTCTGAGTTCACTATGGAGCCTAACGAGTAGAGGCGGGAAGATTTAGGAATAAGGATGGCCGTTCCTTTTGTGTAGGAGTTGTCTAAGGACCATATTTCATCCTTGACGCCCCCTAGTTTCCTTGTAAGCACTCTCCGGATTTTGTTGTGCTCAGCTGATAGTGTGAGGTGAGTTTCTCGCAGCAGAATTATGTCAGCTGGTTTGTTTGGTCGAATTTTTAGTCCTTTGATTATATCGTTCGTTTTTTCTTCTTTGTCCAGAATGTTGTCGAGTCAATTGATGTTCCAACTTCTGATGACTATCCCTTGTGTTTTCCAGTCCACCTCTATCGTTATCCTAATATGCCTAGAAAACGAAATGCTAACATCAGAAATTTTTGGCTACTATATATATCCACATATTGTTAGATATATTTATATATATTATATTGTTTTTATATATATTTAGATATATATACTATATATCGTCACAAATAGAACTATATATATCGTCAAATAGAACTGCCCGGTAAACCGTAGGCAGAGAGGGAGAAGAGGACAACAAACGAGGGGCTGTGACAAATTGTTTATATATTGTTCTATATATTAGTATCTAATATCAATATAAAATAAATTTATTTAAGCTTACATTCTACTTTGTATCTTCTATTTATCTATTTAATTAGATGGATTAATTCTTATATTTCTTTATTAATGAATATATAAAATAAATTTTCAATTTCATTGAGTGTATATGCGAATATCAGAAATTTCGGTTGCAAATATCACAGAAACGAAATGATACTTTCAAAAATTTTCAGATACTTGTTGCGTGAAAACGAAATGCTAATACCAGAAGTTTTCAGAAAAAACGAAATGCTATTATCAGGAATTTTCAGATAAAACGAAATGCTATTATCCGGAATTTTCAGATATTTGTTGTAAGAAAGAAAAAAAATTCAGAGATTTGACGAAGTCCTACTTGATTTACTCATCAATAGATCAAGCAAGCTGGCTACTTGACTCAGCGGGTCCTCTGATTGAGCGGGTCCTCTGATTGAGAGGTCCGCTCTCTCACAAAGTACAAGATAGCGTAAAGGAAGACTTAGATACCAATGAACAATCAATGTTGCAATGCAGCCTCAAACACACATCATCATCATTCCATGGTGGGAAGGGGCCTGGCGCTCACACAGGAAGAATGCGCCAGTCCCTGCCATACACAGACGAAGAAGAGGGGAGTTAGACGAAGAAGAGGGGGAGATGGGAATGTCGTCAACACCAAGTCTGCGATACAGGTCCCAAATAATCCCCGTCAAATGTCTGAATCCCAATGTCGAGTCTGGGTCCAATGTCGTCAAGTCTCAAGTCACAACTCTCTCTCTCTCTCTCTCTCTCTCTCTCTCTCTCTCTCTCTCTCTCTCTCTCTCTCTCTCTCTCTCTCGTAGTCCGCAGATACTGAGAAGTCAGGTGGTGAGAGGGTGGAGGAGATGGTGGACTTAGAAGAGGAAGAAGAAGAACTCTCTCTCTCTCTCTCTGTCCAGTACTAACCTATGAAGCTGGCGCCTTGATGCAGGTACCTCGAAGATGGAGCTGGAGCTATGGCGCCACAGGTAAGTCTCACTGGCCTCCGCCAGCCATCTCTCTCCAACACTACTACTACTACTACTAGCGCCCTGCGCTGAAGACTACTCCTGCAGCTACTAGCACCCAGCACTGAAGACTACTGCTAGCGCTAACGCTACTCCTGCAGCGCTCCTCCAGAGTGCTGCTGCCAAATCCTGAAGACTGCCTCCTGCCTTCTGCCTCTCCATGAAGTGCATGGGAACTCCCTATGTACTACTCGGCCTGCCTCCTGACTGCCTGCAACTGCAGGGCGAGGCAGTCCAGGAGGCTGCTCTTGCCAATGCCAGGGCGAGCCAGGGTCTGGCGCTGCAGCTCCTGCTGAGGCTGTCATGGGAACAGACCAAAAATAGCCTGTTCCTGAAACCCTGGTTTGGTGCCTGAGTGTTAGGGCAGGACGATCTTATGAGGGCCCGAAAGTGGCCCTCCGTTTCAGGCTGAAAAGACTCAGGGCCTGGAAGGCCCTGTCTTACGCTGAAACAACATAGGGCCTGCAGGCCCTCGTTTTCAGGCTTTCAGGCTGAAACGACACGGGGCCTGTAAGCCCTTGTTTTTAGGCTTTTAGGCTGAGACTGCGGGACGGCCCCTGCAGGCCCGTGTGGCTGCGCAGTATGCCACATCTTTCTTTCATCTTCGTCTTCTTTTTTCCCTCTCTCTCCTCTCAAGTTCATTCATTTCTTTTTGCAATTGGACAGCATTGTACTTTCTGATGAATGTGTACTTCGAATTTGGCCAGGATAATAACAAAACAGTAATTCAGATCAGAATCAGAACCACACCACATGTCAAAAACCTCTAACTTTGTAACGATACAGTAAAAAGCTTTCTAAAGTCAGATGATATCTTGTGAGAGTCAGACTTAACTAATGTTGAACGGGTGGAAGGCAGTATTTTTTTCTGCAAAATGACAAAAAACCATTATCGTTCACCAATCACGCGTGTCTCCTTGCCAGCAACGCTCCAGCAACAGTACCTGATTACTCTATACTGACACTTTTTCCAGTCAGAGAAAACTCTTCTAATTCAGAATGCCCGAGGCCATATTAAATTCGCATTGCGCAGTTTAACAGAATGTGAGGAAAGCAATCATGATGCAACAAATTCCAAAATTTGCAATACGATAATTAAATAACATTGTTAATTAATGATTTATTGTAGTTATAGCATTGTTATTATAACCAATTGCAATACATCTCCAGTACAATCACCGTACGACTTCAATGCGGTTGCAATACACTTTCAGTCTAGGCTACTTGGCTCGCCCGGCTGTGCACCCCAGGCAAGTTGCCCGAGGGTCACCTGCACATGGCGCGCCCCGTGCAGGGAAAAGCCAGCCCTTTTTCTTTTTAGGGTGGCAATTTTCTGACCATGGGCGGAGGAGCCCAAATCCAGGCTTCTTTCTTTTTGCCGAGCATTGGCTGTGAAGGGGAGGGAAGGGGGGTATAGATTGGTTTTTAAGGGGCTAAAGGGGTTTAAAAGGGGGTTACTTAGTCTGATTCTGTTATTTTCTTTTTTCAATCTTCGGTTCCCTGAGTAAGATGTGACCCTCAGCCAAAAGCCGTCTGTATTGCAATTCTACAGAACATCGTTTTTCTTCTGGATTTTTTTTTCTTTTTTTTTTTTGGGTGCTGGGACTGCCTGGAACCCTTCCCCGGAGTTCATGCCCGGCCAGGCACCCGGGCGTGTATCCAGGCACAAGTTGGGTGCCCGGGCGCCTGGGCAAACAGCGTAGCTTGCAATCTGATTACAAGGTAATTTTGACGCAAAGATTGCTGACATTCGGGCATACACACACAAACACACGCTTGGGAGAGTATGGGAGTACAGAGCCAAGTTTGGGTCACGTCTACGCTTTGCTCAATCTGTGCCCATTGGTCAAAAAATGATTCAAAAGCCAAAGGTCGAAAAATCTATTGATTATCAATTTATCATACAACAATCACAATAGAAGTGAGAATAACAATCACACGATAAGTTGATAATAGTTAATGGTAATAATCAACAAAGACAATTAACAATAACAGATAGCGATAACAATTAATTTGAATTAAACAATAAGAATGCACGATTAGTAGATTACAATTAACAATGCAACAATATAATTATCACATGAACATTGCCAACATCGCCACACGTTCAAAAGTCAAAGAGTCCAAAAACAATCCCTACCTCCACTTCCATATCGAGGTTGTGCTTGATGAGATAATCCCTGGTGGCAGCAACAGCTTGAGGAATACCCCCTGCAGCTGCAATATGGTTGTCCTTGATCATCACCATGTCGAAGAGTCCCATGCGGTGATTCTCTCCGCCTCCAATCCGCACCTGCAAGAAGAATGCGGCAGCACAGACGACCATCACCAGGTTCTCTGCTCATTACTTGCGTCCCGTTAACATCTTCTTGAGCCCCACCACTACCACTGGACCTGACCTGCCATGCCGACAACGACGGCTAACATACCAGGTCTTTAGCAGCCTCGTAGAGGGAAAACTGATGCAGTGTTTTCTCATGGTCATCACTTCGTTAAAAAAGATACCCAATCCAGGATAGCAATTGATTGACTTTGTGGCGGTTCAACAAATACCCAGCCCTAAAAAATCCAGCAAACATGGGCTGATGCAGTGTTTTCTCACGTGCCTGTGTGCATTGTATGACATTTCTTAAATATCCAGCAAATGGACTGGTGGAGTGTCCTCTGTTTATGTCATTGCAGTTTCAACTTTTCACAGTTCAACCCAGAATCTGCCGAGTGTTAAAAATCCATCTACAACCGTTTACTGTCATTACAGTTTTCACATCTCAAGCCAGACTTGGCCGAGCGTTAAAAATCCATCTACACCCTTAATCTTTAAACCCTAAAAAATACGTCGTGCGGTTTCCATTCACTGTGCTTCCATTTCATGCCCCTAGTACCACTTGCACCTCTCATGCACATACCAAAAGATCCAGGACCTGCTCGGTGGCTCAACAGCACATATATGCAGCCGTTGAGAAGAACGGATCAAATAGTTCAGAACTTCAGAGTCTTCAGACCATGTTGGATATATAACAATGTAACTGGTTAACCTCCTATTAACTAGAGGACAAAAAAACTATGAGCCTCAAGACTCTCAACCAAGGGGCCCACAAAAGGCAGGTACTACCCCCTTTTGACCTGAGGATCAAACGTGTGAGCGGTTCTTCTAAGGGGGTCAGAAAAGACGTGTACAGGCCTGGCACTCTTTGAACCCGACGTTTTCGGCCTGCACGAACACTTCCAGCGTGTGTGGGTCGAAGTCCAGATTTGGGGATCAAAAGTCGTCCCTTGCCCCATAAGGGTTTCAGAAAAGTCCTTTCGTCAACAGGTACAGGGTCAACGGTCAAAAGAGGCCGCCCATGCCAGTCAAGGAGTCAGAGATTTCTCAGTAGTCAACCACAACAACAGATCTGATGCACATCAAAGGCTGTCTGCATTGCTCCACTAGTTTCCAAGGCCCAATGGGTCCAGGCACACACTGACCAAGCAAATCTGAGCCATCCCGATAACGAACCCTCAGCCATACGAGGAGGCAAGCTGAGGCAAGCCACAGCGGTGCGGGAGGCAGGAGCGCTGCTCCACTTAGCGCTGGAGGAGGCAGGAGAGGCAGGCACCAGAGAGGAAAAAGACCGCCAGGGAGACAGTAGCCATAGCTATAGTATAGAGGAAGACTGAGGTTGAGGGAGATAAGACCTGCGTGGCACGAGAGAGAGAGAGAGAGAGAGAGAGAGAGAGAGAGAGAGAGAGAGAGAGAGAGAGAGAGAGAGAGAGAGAGAGAGAGAGAGAGAGAGACTTGCCTGGCTTACTTGACTTACCTGTTGTTGCTTGGGATGTTAAGGCAGCAGTTTGCTCCTAAAGATTCAAGGTGCTGAGCACCAACCTCCGTAGCTGAGCTTTGTTCTGGAGGCTGGGCCAACCTTTGGGGACAGCTGCAGAGAGACCTCATCAGCGGTGGCAACAGTGAGATACATGCTGAGGTGGGGAGTCTGGTGGGAAGGGTCCTCAAGTTTAAGGGGGGAATGGAATAGCCGCTCAGTTGTATTCACTGATTATTAACGAGACTTTTCCCGATTTATGTGTGTCATCCTTGCACAGGGGCCATGCTAATATTATCTGTATCATTCCAATTTTAACGGATGTCCCTGAGGACTTTCCTCCTCCTTTCTCCTTCTTTCCTACCTTTCTCCTATTTCTAGATACTCGCTGTTGAGGTTACTACATTGTGTGGAATGGCACTACATATATGACTCTGTTGTTGCAAGATTCTCACGAAAATGGATTCATTATAGCGCCGCCCTCTGCTCTAAATCACTACCACCGATCAGGCATCTTCATCAGAGCTTAGCGCACAATCTGATGATATCTAATGCAGCCTGTAACCCTTTATTGTAAATCCGAAACTGCTTCTTAAGACCACATATACATAGTAATCCAACTTTAAGACATCGCATGGTGCTGCCAAAAGAAAAACCTCAAGGCCCAGAGGGAGTAGCTGGCGTATTTGCGGATGCTTTGTCCACGATCTGCCAAGGTTGGCATGGGTAAAGGTGTGCCGAAAAGATAATGTCGAGATAAGATGATGCAGGATCACATGCCATCCTACGTGGTCTTGTATGTACGTGGCTCAAAATACACACACATAGACACACAGACACATACACACATCAAGTTCAATCAGTTGATTGCTACACATCCACATTTAATTTTGTGGCATGATGATAGCATCAAAAAGGTTCCATCATGAGAGAAGTAACAGCCACAAGGGAGAAACAGGTAGTGGATCACTTACAGCCCATTTGTCGAGGAGTCGTAGGCCTGGCACTGTCTTTCTGGTTTCGAGAATGCGAGCAGGTTGTGCAGCCTCTGCCATTTCCTGTGAGATGATCAGAGAAAACAAAGTGGGCAGGAGGGGGCAGGGGAAAGAAAACGAAAACAAGTCACTGGTCAGCTGATGTTATTTCGATTTCCATCCAAAAATCGATAGAATAATCTACACTGAAAGTTGAGACGCTGATGATCACCAGGCTTTTTCCTTCTCTCAACTTTTTCGTACAAAAGGCTGTAATTTACAAAGAAGTCGAAGCCTCTGTAACAAGATTCTGTCAAATCTGGGCACAAGGCCCATCTGGACACAGGTACGAAGTTTCCGAAAAACAAAACCAAGACAAGAAAAGAAAATAAAATCTTTACATTCGTTGTTGGCATCTTTTGAGTCGGCCCAGTTTTATATTGCAATTCTTCAAACATTGGTCTGGCAAGGGGTTTGGCTAACATTGCCAGAGTGGCCATGGATGGTCTTTTCTGGGGGCACATGGGTGCTTCCCCGTCGCCCTTAGCAGAGGGTGGTTCGAAAGGGCGAGCGTGGGGTGCTAAGCTTTGGGCTCGAGTAGGCTAGCACGTGGGGTCAGAACAGGGAGGCAGGGGAACAATTTGGCTCATGCCGTTTCAGGTTCTCCGGCCCTATAGGTCGGGGTGACAGAGTATTTTGTGATGGCTGTTACACACAGTAGGTATGAATAAGCCACAGGCGACGGTTGAGTCCTCTGTCCTCCCAGGACATTCTTGCCTTGTTCCAGTCCGCGGCATGAGCTCCTCTCGAACAACTCATGAGCACGGGGCATATCACTTGCTTCTCACACAACAGTTGTCCAAGCTGTGGCGGAGCCGATGGGTTCCGAGTCTTCTGATGAACGCGGACACGGGAAGTGACCTGCCTCGTTGACGAGACAGCAGACGTCGCCATGACAGCTGGATTGTGATCACCCACAGACACTTCTTCACAGTATGCTCGGTTCCACGCTTAGACAACATGCCAGCGTTTGTTCTGCATGATGCCGGAGCTGAGCGTTTAGGAAGAAGAGCGTGAAGACCAACACGCCAAAGGACCTCCGATCGTAGTGCAACCCCAATGGGGTTGTGAGCTAACTTCTCTCAATGTGTAATGTTTGATGCTTTTTGTGTGCAACGACCTTGTGGTTTTTGCAGTACCCCTTTTGATTACAGCATGGGCGTATCCATGCTCTGTTGATGGCTTTGCATGATCTTTTTCCAGTCGGGGGGTGGCCAATCTGAACTTGGGCGTGATGTCAATATGGGGCAATTGGGGCATCTAACAAAAGGATACTGATCGGGGATTGGTTACTCTTTGGAGCTTGGTCATTGACAGTTGGGGGGAACACGACGATGGATCAGTTTGTGGAAATACAATTTCCAGGTGGATGATGGCTTTGCATGATCTTTTTCCAGTCGGGGGTGGTCAATCTGAACTTGGGCGTGATGTCAATATGGGGCAATTGGGGCATTTAACAAAAGGATACTGATCAGGGATTGGTTACTCTTTGGAGCTTGGTCATTGACAGTTGGGGGGAACTCGACGATGGATCAGTTTGTGGAAGTACAATTTCCAGGTGGATGGATACAGGGTGTGGGCAGGCTGACGGGCACCCTTCGGAGGGTAGGACATGTAGAATGGAACAAAAAACAACAAAAAAAAACAAAAAAAAAAAAAAAAACTGGCTTCTGAGCCTTCTCCTCTATGGGGGACAGCTATATTATTTTCAGCAGGGAGTATGGGAAGTAATCCAATGCCGCCACTTAGTTCCTACACTGCTCAATGCGAGGAGCAGAACCCAGGCTCCTAACACCTGGTTGCGGCTGGGAGGAGGACCCCGACCCCAACCAACCAGGAGGGGCAAGCCGACTATCTCAGCTAGAATAGAACTTAGTTTTTTCTTCAGGATATATTTACACATGGTGTGGTGTGAGGTACGATGGTATAAAAGGAAGCAAGGCTATCGGAATGGCCTCCTACATGGAGCATGAGTTTGATTCCGGATAGGAATCCTCATGAAGATGCTACTTGCAGGGTACTTAAAACGCATAAAGGGAATGTTTGACTGTGGATGGTTTGGGCACATCTGGTTTCGGACTTATGTGGACGCTTCATTGGGATTCAAGCGGAAGAAGTTTGATGTTCCTTTGATGCATGCGTGGTCGAGTGTAAAAATTGGTGTATTGCTGTATTCGTTTGGCATTTTTGTTGATTTCTTTTTCTCAAGTAATAAATTATACCTTTTTAAAGAAAATATTTCTTCTGCTCAGGCATGTAGACAGGAACGCAAGCACCGCACAAGAGATTCTCTTGATGGATATTGGGATAGCTCCCTGCATGTCTGCCACCCAGACGGACATTCAGATTATACGGATGGCAGACACATGGACAGCCATCCAGACAGCTGTCCTTGTGACTGGGATCTCAAGCATGGCGTGCATTTGTCGAAAAGGTCAAAGCTTCTGGATAGCCTGCCCACCACCTTTTCTTCCCTATTCTCTCATTAGAGTAGTGTTGCATACCCCAACGGCCGGTGCCGCTTGACTGGTCGGATGCCGACCAGCCGACGGGTCGGCTGGTAGGCACCTACTGGTCGGTGTCGTCGGTACCCGGCAAAAAAAAAAAAAAAAG